ACTTAAGGTGTTTGAGGTTTGGCGAGGCACCAAGGAACCGCTGTCAACCTTAGCCTTATAACGGAGCCGATCTTGGAGCTCATGTAGGTTGCATATGACTTTGCGCATAACCGCAGTGGAGATGGGCTGAGATGGAGAGAAACTGGGACCCAACTCCAACAAGGAACGTGCGCCTTCGGACAAGGAGAAGTCTCCCAACACTGTAACTCTAGATCCCGAAAAGCCCCGTTGCCCTGTCGTGCTGGTTGCTTGGCCTGCGAGGACCCGACTGGTCACGGTATGAGATGACCCCCCTTGGGGATTGCGTGATGAGCTGTAAAGATCATCGAATTTCTTCTGTAAGATAGTTTTAGCATTAGATCGGATAGAATCACAAATTGACTTCGACCCACCCACTATTCTCTTCCAGAGGCGATCCTCCAAATATTGAATACAGCACTGTTCTTTCGACAAGCATTTCTTTAACATAGAATACATGTGGTCACGTTTGTTACGAAGTGCTATTCGAAGTAATCGAATTTCAACGTCCAATACTTTGGGGTCGCTCCGTGTGCTGCCTAAGAGATCACATAATCGTTTCCTTGAGATAAAATTAGGAATTATACGGTGATCAAGACAACCTTGAAGAAAGTGGATCGATTGTTGAGCTGAGACAATTTTCTGTCTCAGAGACAGCACTCGAGCTACTAAATGAGCACCACAGCATGGATGGGCTCTCTATCACCCAGCTGATGACGTTGCTCAAGGAGTGCCTTAATTGCAATATCTTCAGATGGTCGGGTAGGTATTTCGAGCAGATTAGAGGTTTAGCTATGGGGCAACGACTGGCGCCTACCTTGGCTATAGCCTTCATGTCTAAAATCGAAGCGCCTGTATTGGAAAGCCACCCCATGCTTTACTGTCGCTATATCGATGACTGCTTCGTGGTCTGCTCGACGCAAGAACAAATGGACATGTGTTTCGATCTCCTTAACACCCAATCGGAGCACATAAAGCTGACACGGGAAAAGCCCTCAGGAAGCTGGCTCCCATTTCTGAACATTCAAGTTAAATTGCAGGGTGGCATGCTTTCTACGAAATGGTACAGGAAGCCCAGCAACAAGAACATCATCGTTCACTGTCAGTCAGCCCACCCTTCACAGACCAAGCGAGCTGTTGTGAGGAACATGTTCCGAACAGCGGCTAGAGTTTGCACTGGAGAGGATGAGCGCAAGGAATCACTGGCGATTGCGCGTGAAATAGCTGAGCTCAATGGCTACGGGAAACCTCCGACCTCCACAGAGCAAGAAATGGCGGCCCGGGCAACAGACCCGGTGGTAATTTCTCGATGGCAAAATCCCATTTGGTAATTTCCTCAATGGCAAAATCCCATTTCATGGTACCATTTATCTCTGAGGAAGTTAGCATCTCCATTAGGAAATGTCTGAGGAGGTCGGGTTTAGGAAAACACAGTTGCCATTTTAGATGTGCCACCCAATAATCTGAAGCATCGCCTCGTACGCAATCGGCTCTACGACCGCTCATGTACCACCCCTAATTGTGTGGTCTGTCCGACCGCTAGGGAGGGTGACGCAGCCGCCGCGTACGACGCTGCTCGCCGCGTGAGCGGCGTGATCTCATCGCCTGACGATTGAATTGACCGTCTCCCGTTATGACCCTGTCGTTTTTTTGCACATTGGCGGTCTACCTGCCCTCATCGCTCATTTATAGTATCCTAGAGAGCGCACTCATTCGCAAGCATGTTCTTCATCAAACTTCAGACGTGGATTGAATACAATCACGCGCCAATTGGTGCCTCTGGTACGAATCGCGGACTCCGGATTTGCGCCGTTACAGCGCGCCGGTAGACTGGAGTTGTTCATTTGACAACTGCTCAGTTCTGCCAGGGAGGGGGAAAATAGTGACGACCCATTATTTTTGCACCTTATTAAGTTCCTCTCCAATTAATGTGTAGAGCAACCCTAATTAGGTGTGAGCACAGAGGTCACATTATGCTGGGTGCACGTTTGTGTAAGTCGATTTGAGAGAGATTTAATTGGGGAATTACTACTACAAATATTTTATCAGTTAAGTGGAAGCAACCGAACAAATGAATAATATGTACCGTAGTTTTGTTAATAACATATGTTGACACTTCCTGAAAAAGACAATGGGGTAGGGGTCGAAAAAAATTCATACATATTAGGTTGTCTCATAAGTACATAGTGTCGCTTCTTTTTCAACAGAGATTTTTCCTTTATATCCTTAAGCTTTTACACCATCATCATATACCATTCGAAAGAGAATTGTCTGCTCTACAAGATATTTATGTTCCTCTTCCACCTATGTTCCAGGGTTTTCAAATTTTAGGCCTGCGAAATGGGAGGTCCCGCCGACAAAAATTGACCAAACCGACAACTAGCTCTAACTTTATTTTCCCTTCGGAGAAATCAATCAATGATGTACCCTCTACTTACTCATGACCTCTTCTGAACATTCCACCTCTTAGGTTGCCGAAAAAGCTTTGCCGTTTTTCTTTTCGAATTGGCTGACGGATAAGCCATAGCAATTTTCAAATTAAAATTGTTCCTCGTAAACGTCATTGTTTCATATCGAGTGGTGTTCCTTTTACGAGCACTTCTTCTGCTCTACTCGCTCATTTGTTTTGTTTCTCTATGTTTGTTGTTAATTAGTTCGAATTTTAGGCGTTTAGGAATAAGGTGTTTTGTCACGAAGCGGACCCCGCATTTTTTTTAAAAAAATTATCCCCGAGAAGATAGGTGAGAAAATCAACCAGGGTACATTCCTAACTTAGCTCATGACTTGCTCTTTAATTCTACAAGTTTTTCAATGTCTCGGCTATGAAAAAATTTCGACCTAATCTCTCAGGTAATGGTGCTCGACCGTCGAGTTCTGGTTGAAAAACCAGGTCTGGAAATGGAACGACGCGACTTGTTGGGAAACCTAATAGTGTAATGTTCAGAAGAGGTCATGCATAAGTAGAGGGTACATCATTGATTGATTTCTCCCAAGGGAAGATAAAGTTAGAGATAGTTGTCGGTTTGGTCAATTTTTGTCGGCTGGACCTCCCATTTCGCAGACCTAATGTTTGAAAGGGCGGAAGTGGTGTAGTGACAAGTGGCGCGCTCACCACGCGAGCGGTCCGGGATCAAATCCTGGGTCGTGAGTCGCCCGGGCCAACCAAGCCTTCCATCCCTCCGGGGTCGGTTAATTGGTACCAGACTTGTCTGGGAGGATAAAAAAACTTGACTGAGCATCGGCTGGCCCAATTTTGTAGTCGACGTGGGACTCCCATTTTCACAGACCGTAAATTTTTTTGAAAACCCGGAATGGGAGGGTGGAAGGAGACGATATATCTGTTGTTAGAGCAGACAGTTCTCTTTCGAATGGTTCATGATGATGGTGTAGAATTAAGGATTTAAAATAAAAATCTCTGTTGAAAAAGAAGCGACACTATGTACTTATGAGGACAACCTAATATGTATGAATTTTTTTCGACCCCTACCCCATTCGTCTTTTTCAGGAAGTGTCAACATATGTTATCAACAAAACTACGGTACATATTATTCATTTGTTTATGTTGCTTCCACTTAACTGATAAAATATTTGTTGTAGTAATTCCCCAACTAAATCTCTCTCAAATCGACTTACGCAAACGTGCACCCAGCATAATGTGACCTCTGTGCTCACACCTAATTAGGGTTGCTCTACACATTAATTTGGAGAGGAACTTAATCGGTGCAAAAATAATGGGTCGTCACTATTTCCCCCCTCCCTGGCAGAACTGAGCAGTTTGTTCATAATGAACACTCTCAGTCAACCGGCGCGCTGTACGGCGCAAATCCGGAGTCCGCGATTCGTACCAGAGGACACCAATTGGCGCGTGATTATATTCAATCCAACTCTGAAGTTTGATGAAGAACATGCTTGCGAATGAGTGCGCCCTCTAGGATACTATAAATGAGCGTTGAGGGCAAGTGGACCGCCAATGTGCAAAAAAACGACAGGGTCATAACGGGAGACGGTCAATTCAATCGTCAGGCGATGAGATCACGCCGCTCACGCGGCGAGCAGCGTCGTACGCGGCAGCTGCTGCAGCGATTTCTGTGTGGACCTTGGCTTTACCATGCATTTCACTTTTTAGTAGCGGGGGGGGCTAGGTAACCTATAAGACCAGAGTGCTAGACATCAGTAAGCCAACACACGTCTTTTCAAGTCCTCCGCAGCGGTTTCAGCTTACAGTACAAAGCTTGCACCACGTAAACGTTGTTCTTCTGATTTCAATCTGACTTCTTTGTTAATTAGCTGCCTGAATTCCTACCAATGAATAATAGTCTGGTTCAATCAGAAAGAATAATGTTCCAAGACACGGAGGAATGGTGAGGAAGGCTTCAGCGTAGGCATGATTGGAATAGTTTCCAAATGATGGCAAGAGACAGGATTCCTACTCCATGTTTCATGACTGGAAGCTTTATTTAATCTTATAATCCCCATGGTTTGGAAGCTGAATTCTGGCAACGCCGTCGCGACATCGCGAGCTGCGGCGGCTCGCCCGGCGACCTAGCGACTGCCACGAATGAATCGTCACGCACCCGGTCATAACTGCTGAAATGGGCACCTCCTTTTTGGAATAGATAGGAAGCGAAGTTCCATTGGGAATTGTGGAAGTTCGCAGTCATTCTTCGTTCAGCATTTCTACCATACTCCCCCTCCCTCCCTTCTTCCTCCCTCCGTCTGCTAAACGAGGTTTGGAAAACAAAAGAAGTAAAGGAAGATGAGTCAGTTAGAATCAGAATCGGAACAAAGGCTAAATGGAGAAGGAGAAAGGTCTTCCCAAACCTAAAGTTTGCTCAACGCAATGATTGGCGCTCGCGATCTGTGAATCCTACTTCTACATGGTGAGCTCCATCTATATATTCAATCCGTCGAACAACAATCTGTACAAAGAAAAGTGAACAAAATTGGGATTTTGAAAAAAAGTCCGAAGATAGCTGATGGACCTCGGCCTCGTTTCATATTATCGCGGCGAGCGCTGGCCATAACCACCAATGAATAACCATAACCACTTGTTTGTGAATCAATTCTAAATCACTGTTCAAAAAAATTCAGCAGAGGTCGATCAGAAGTTCGACCGAAAATGGTTTGGTGGCAGGTGGCGTTGCTTACCCGCATGAGCCCGGATCAAATCTTGGATCGTGCGCCTTCTACGCCGACGCCTTCCATCGCTCTGCAGTGGATGATTGGCACCACCCGTCTGACAGGATAAAAACACCAAAGTGGTCATCTCCCCAAGTAGTAAGTCCTCTCCGAATCGCATTGTCTAATATCCGATCTTAATTTTTTTTTTGCTAGTCCGAAGTATTGGCCACTATCGATGGCGGAGGTGGTATCGAGGCAACCTTACCACCTTACTAACTTTTACTTACCACGCGCGCGGTCCGTTGATCAAAGCGGGTCGTGCACCTTCCAGGCCAACTAACACTTTTAGGCCTTTTGTCCTGCGGGTTCGTTAATATGAAAAACACTGACCCGTGCCTCAGTTGGCCGAACGCAAGCCATTGTAGTACACAAGCCAAAACCGCGTCTGCTTCAAACGTTTCTGCTCAATTTTGCCCCTTTCATCCTTGCTACCATCCTACGACACATCCGCTCTGTTAGCCGTAAAATGTTGCCAACGCATGGAGCTGATTGCTGCCTTTCCCCTGGAATTTCATGGACTTCTGGTTGAAAAAAAGACAGGTGTCGGTTTTGAGATCATGTCACTCAGCACAAATTTTCTTCCCGTCAACGAGCGCTACAGATCCTAGTAGGTGGTCGTTTTTTGGTACGAGGTTAGGTCTACGCCGCGAGCCTGATGCCCGATAGCATCCTTTTTGAGCGGCCCTGTCATTGCCACAAAAATGGCATAAAGCTACCCCTAAAAAGAAAAACTTCTATTTTTGAATGTTTTCGACAGCATTTGTAGCGTTGAATAAATACATACCGAAGGGTATTTGCTCCGTGAATGAGATCAGACATGTAAGAACGCGCAAGAAAGTGGAAATTAGAAAAATGCAAAAATTTATTGAGGCATGGATCGGAACTGAGTTGGGGTCCGCGCTCGAAATTGAGTGCAGAGATGCAAAATGGAACGCCAGTGAAGAAAAAACGGGAAAGGAGCCGTCGACAAAAAAAATAAAACCTCTCTTCCCATAAGCGGCGAAGGATGCTGGCTTGGGATGAATGCATATCCGAACGAGTTTTCGGACATGCCAACCATTGTTGGCTCTGTGAAAGCGGCCGATAAGGCAATCAGCCCAGCTGATTTCACCCTTTATGCTTTACCAGTTTAGCTCCGCACGCAACCGCGCGCATCACATGGTAAGCTTTAGTGAAGCTGGACAACTTGCTGAATATTAGGTCACGTGGCTGAGAAACTAACAGTAAGATGTTTGGAAGATGTGTCACATGAATTTCAAAGGCCGTCCAATTTTGCTGAAGATTGTAGCGTAATGCGCGCAGTAGCATGCGGAATGAAAATTACACTTATCATGACTTCGTAAACATTTAGCATTGATATCGAGCTCGGGTGATTTAGCGGTTTATAGAATTTCCACAATTGAAGAATCGGTGTGTAAGTGAAATATAACCAATCAATCAGCATCTAACCATGATGGAGATTGCAAATATGATGGAAATTCGCTATTGGTCCAAGCCCAGATAGTTGAGCAGCTCAACTTTCTTTGCTTCTTAGATGAAAGGATAGGAATGGAACATATTCACGTGCTAGGGACCTGGTTTAGTTCAACTGAGTGCACGCTCAATTGTCACTTTTATCAGTACAGTTGCCGCTCATACCACTTTCTGTCACCTACATTTCAACCCTCGCCACCTTGATCGCTTGCCAGTGATAATTGCAACGAAGTTGTAGAGACCTGCATTCAAGCGCTCTTATCATTTTGACTTGTTTTGTTTGTTAACTGCTGTTTTAACGCCGCAGTTCGCGTTGCGAATGTCCCTTATCATTCCTTGTCATTTCTTATCAGTTTCACCCTGTTCGCAATCGGCGTCCCGGTCCCAATCACTACGCAACGTGTAGGAGCTAACATTTACTGTC